CTGCTGCTGCTGCTGCTGCAGCACGGAGACACTTGACTATCCCAGTTGCTGCTGCTGCTGGCAGCAGCAGCAACAGCAGCAGGCGCAGTAGCAGCAGCAGCAGCAGCAGCAGCAGCAAGGGAAGAGACAGCCGTAGCTCTCTCCACGCAGCTTATAGATAGCTGCCAGGGGACCTGCAGCAGGAAGACACAGCGGCGCAGTGCTGCATGCTGGTGGTTGTTGCTGCTGCTGCTGCTGCTGCTGTTGCTGCTGCTGCTGCTGCTGCAGCCAAGGCTTCTACAATCATGAATTGCTGCAGCATAAACAAAAGGGCCGTCAGGGCCTGAACCTTCTGCTGCTGCAGCAGCAAGTGCTGCTGCTGCTGCTGCTGCATCTCCCCGCTGAAACCAATCCTCCGTCAATGTCGCAGACACCGTGTGCTGCGCCGTGTCTGCTGCTGCTGCTGCTGCTGCTGCTGCTGCAACTGCTGTTGCTGCTGTTGCAGCCTCCGTTGCTGTGCCTGCCGCTGTCTCCACCNTGCTGCTGCTGCTGCAACTGCTGTTGCTGCTGTTGCAGCCTCCGTTGCTGTGCCTGCCGCTGTCTCCACCGCAGCAGAGCCCGATATTGGCGGCTCTAGCTGCTGCTGCTGCTGCTGCTGCTGCTGCTGCTTCTCATTAAGGGTGCATGCGTCGCTCTGTTGTCTGCTATGGTCCCCGTCAGCAGCAGCATCTGTTGCTGCTGCGTTTGCTGCTGCATCTGCTGCTGCATCTGTTGCGTCTGCTGCTGCATCTGCTGCTGCTGCTGCTGCATCTGCTGCAGCTTCAGCGTGAGAAGCAGCACGGCTGCAGCAGAAGGTCGGGGACGGCAGCAGCGGAGACACCGCAACGATCCGCAGCAGCGGGGGCAAAGCAGCAGCAGCAGCAGGAGCAGCAGCAGCAGCAGCAGCACGCGGCTGCACAGGCAGCGGCACGACAGCCCCTATAAGAGAAGAGACAGAAAGGCTGTGCGAGGTTTTGCTGTCTGCTGCTCTCGTTGCAGCTGCTGCTGCTGCCTCTGCTGCTGTTGCTGCAGCAGGAGATCGTGCTGCTGAGGCTGAGCCTTCTATGCTGCCCTGCTGCTGCTGCTGCTGCTGCGCGAAGCTTGTGCTGTTGCTGCTGCTGCTGCAGTGCTGCAGAGCAGCAGCAGAACCCTGCGGCACCATCCCCCCCTGCTGCTTGGTAAACACTGCTGCTGCTGCTGCTGCTGCTGCTGCTGCTGCTCCTTAGCTGACCATTTGGCTGCTGCCTCCAGCCAATCTCCTGCCGCACAATGAGCAGCAGCAGCTGTTGCTGCTGCTGCTGTTGCTGCTGCTGCTGCTGCTGCTGCTGCTCTCCAACTGTCTACCCCGTAGGAAAGGAGAAAAATAGATGAGCCCAATGGCTGCCTCGGTTGCTGCTAGCAACAGGGGTTCGCTGCTGCTGCTGCTGCAGCATTTGCTGCTGACTCTGCTGCGGCGATAACTCTGTTCCAGCTCATGCAGCAGCAGCAGCAGCAGCAGCTGCTGCTGCTGCTGCTGCAGCTGCCCGCTGCAGCTAGTTCTGTACACCCAGAGAAGATGTAGAAGGGGTTGATGCTTTGGTATGTGTCTCTCCAGCTGCTCCTGTTGCTGCTGCTGTTGCTGCTGCTGCTGCTGCTGCAGCCGTGGCGGGAGCTGCTGCAGCAGCTGCTGCTGCTGCCACCGAAGCCGTTTCTATTAGATCTGAGTGCTGCTCAAGCAAACAGCATTTGCTGCTGCAGCTCCCGAGTCTTAACCCGCTGCTGCTGCTGCTGCTGCTGCTACTGCTGCTGCTGCTGCTGCTGCTGCTCGCATGAGATCTACTGTGGCGCTGGTACTGTTGCAGCTGCTGCTGCTGCTGCTGCTGCTGCACGTATAAACAAAGAAACATAAACTTTATATCAGGAGAACTGCAGCATATAAGCAGACACTGTGAGTGGGCTGGTTGCTGCTGCCTGTCGGCAGCGGCTGTGCCTTTGCTGCTGGGGCTTTCGTTGCTGCTGCTGCTGCTGCTGCTGCTGCTGCAAATGCTACTGCTGCTGCTGCTGCAGCAATCCCCTGTGGGGTTGTTCGTTTCAGCATTAGATATTTCTGCTACTTCTGCTCGCGCAGGCGCTGGAGCAACACCTGAAACGCTGCTGCAGCGCAGCCACTAGTAGCAGCAGCAGCAGCAGCAGCAGCAGCAGCAGCAGCAGC